GAGATGCAGCCTGCAAAGTCTCATGGGATTGGGTTGGTCATTTTAGTGTCACATAAGTAGAAGGTTCCAACCCTGAGCGGAAAGACATCCTCCCCCTTTACTGCTGTCACAGACTCACAGCCGGCCTCTCACCAATGTGTTCCCACCCTCCCAGGGTTATATCAAAATAAGATATTTCACTTCCCATTGATTTATTAACTTTTTGACCTCGACTTCTACAGGTCTTTCATGTTATTGGTGCAACCACTTTGTCTTCCTTGAGGAGATGATTAAGAGTGAAACAGACATTCACAGGGCACAGTACTGCTGACGGGGTCAGTACTGTTGCTTCAGGCTTTTTCTTTTATGTATTTCTTTTGGTCCTGGGGATTGGACCAGGTGCCCTTTAACCACTGAGCTATATCCAAGCCCTTTTTATTTTTTGCATTGGACACAGGGTCTCACTAAGTTGCTTAGGACCTGGCTAAGTTGCTGAGGCTGGCCTTGAATTTGCACTCCTCCTGCCTAAGCCTCCTGAGTTACTGGGTTCGGCCTTTCATCATGGTGCTCATGGTCCCTAAGCAATGATCCTTGCTCTCCTTTGTTTGTCTGCCAAGGTGAGACAGCTGCTGCAGTTTCAGGCATTCTTCTCTGTGCCCTCAGGAAGCTTGAGACAGGACACCATTCATTTGGGGCTCGTTTTGTGAGTGCCTTGTGGATGAACAGGAAGATTCCTTTGTAGAATTGTAAATTGAAGTATTAATCATAGACTTTACTCCATTTTATAGGGAAATGATATTTAAACAGCAAAATTTATTAAATGTTGAGATTCATAAAGGTCTTATTATAGTTTGCTTCCAAATGTTCAAGGTCTCCTTATTCTGGAAATTATGCTTATGCATCTGTCTTTACTACTAACCTTTCACTAAATACTCTAGTCACTAAATTATATTTTGGACACAAGGTATCTCCTCAAAGCTCATGTGAGAGACAATGCAAGAATGTTGAGAGGTGTAATAAGTAGATTATGAGAACTGTAACCTAATTGGTGAATTAACTCACTGGACTGGATTAACTGGGTGGTAACTGTAGCCAGGTAGGGTATGACTGGAGGAAGGAGGTCACTGGGGGTGTGACTTTGGGGTTTATATTTTGTCCCTGATGAATGGAGCTCTCTGCTTCCTGGTTTTCAAACTAAGCAACTTTCCTGTACCACTCCCTTCCACTATAATGTTCTTCTCCCTCACCTCTGGCTTAGAGCTACGGAGTCAGCTGACCATGGACTGAAGCTCAGAAACAGTGAGCCAAAATAAATTCTTTCCTCCTCTAAGTTGTTCTTGTTGGGTCTTTTGATCTCAGTGACGAAAACCTGACTAAAAACACTAGCCCTATGTAGCTACTGAATATGTAACATGTCAAGTCTGAATTGAGATTCACTCTGAATGAATATATTTCAGATTTGGTACAAATATACAAATGCAAACATATTATTAGTATTTTAATAATGATTATATGTTGAGATGTTTTAAATATACTGAATTAAATAAAATATTAAAATTTATTTCACTATTTCTTATTCATTTTTTAATACAGCTAAGAGATCATTTAAAATTACATATTCAGTTGATAGTGTTTTTTCTGTCGAACACAGCTATCTACATTACAAGTTCCTTGAGTCCAGAGACAGTGTCTACTCTAGATTTATTAGATGCTCAGTAAATGTTTGATAAACCAAAGTGTTGGACAGAAATCAGTGTTTTAGGATTATAATTATTTTTGAATTTTTTTTAGATGTTGATGGACCTTTGTTTTATTGATTTTTTTTGTTTGTTTTATGTGGTGCTAAGAATTGAACCCAGTGCCTCACACATGCTAGGCAAGTGCTCTACCACTGAGCCACAACCTCAGCCTCAATGATGATTTTTAAGGTAGTGATTTTGACAGTGTTGGGTTTGAAAAGTGATAGAGAAAGATGGGATGGATTGGGTCTCGTTATCTTAAGAATGTCTCTAATGTGGAGTTGGGACAGGTATAAAAAGAGATGTGAACACTGGCTTCTCCTGAGACCTTCACATGTGCTCTGGAGAGCTTACCTGACTTGGCCATCCACACTCCTTACTCTAGAGGCATTTAATACAGCAGTTTGTTGAAGAAACAAGGGACATATCCTGTGTGTCATTTAACTAAGGCTCTTAGGCTTTAATGTGCTTAAAAAATCACTTGTAATTTTTGTCAAAAACATGGATTCCCAGACCCATTCCTAGAGACTGTATGTCAGCAGGGAAGGGAAGGGGATCATAAATCTGCATGGTAATACTCCAGAAGGTTCCAATGGTTTGTAAATAGTATGTCAGCAAAAACTGCCACAAGCCATGATGATCTGGGAATAGCCTGGAAATCTACCTAGAGTAAGCAGTTTTCTCAGTAATTTTTGTCATTAACATAAAAAATTTCAATTGTTAGATATTTTAATAATCATAAAGTTGATTCCTTTGAAGCAATTAACAGAGACAAAATCAAAGGCAACCTGCAGAATGGGAGTAAATATTTGCAAACTATGTATTAAATAAGGAGTTAAAATCTGGAATACAGAGAGAACTTCTTTACCTCAGTAACAGAAAAACATAATCCAATTTTTAAATGGGCAAAGGATTTCAAAAGGTATTGCTCCAAAGAAAATGAACAAAATGGCAACAAATATGAAAATATACTCAATATTGCTAACCATCAGGGAAATCAAAACCATAATAGGCTGTCACCTGACTGAAACCACTAAAACATGAAAATGAAGATAAGCATTGACAAGACGAAGGGATACAGCATCATCCTGTGCTGTTGGTGGGATTGTAAAATTGTGCAGCCACTATGGAAAACTGTATGAAAGTCCCTCAAAAAGTTGAAAATAGAACTACCATATGATCTTCCGATCCCACTTCTGGTTATATATCCAAAAGAAAGATATATTAAAGAGTTATATAACATCCATCACCATTGCACCATTATTTATAATAGCTAAATGGGGGAGCATCCCAGATGACCACTGACAGCATGTGTTGCATGCAATGAATAATCATCCAGCTTTATCAAAGGAGGAAATCCAGTCACATGCTACGATGTGGATAAACTTGAAGAAGGTTATGAAAAGTGAAAGAAACCAATCATAAAGCCACAAATACTGCATGATTCCATTTATATGTAGTATCCAAAGTAGTCAACTCATAGATTCAGAAAGTAAAAAGGGAGCTGCCAGGGACTGGAAAAAAGATACAGAAGAGTTGCTATTAGGTGGGTATAATGTTTTAGTTATGCAAGATGAGTAAGTTCTAGAGATCCACTGTACGGCAGTGTTCATATATTGGACAATACTGAACAGGGTGCAGTGGCACACATCTTTAAGGGAGGCTGAGGCAGGAGGATCCCAAGTTTGGGGCCAGCCTTTGCAACTTAATGAGAGGCTGTCTCCAAAATTTAGAAATTAAAAAGGAGCTGGGGATGTAGTGCCATTGGGTTCAATCTCCAGTACCCAAAACAAACAAACAAAAAATATCCTGTATACTTAAGAATTAAGAGAAAAAAAGTGTTTTTGATCACAATAAAAACATTAATCAAAAAACATTAACTATCCTTATAGTTCATGGTAAAATGAAACTTAGGCAGAACCATGGCAATTTCATTTGTTTTGAACAACTTCTTTTTGTGAGAAATTTTGTTGAAAATCTTGAGCTAAAGGAAATGCGTACTTGCAAGCAAGCTGTGTGCGTTGTGAGAGAAATGGAAGTTTGTGGTCCCTCCATGGCCACACTGAGGGCAAAGCTATAAAGCACACTCATGCTGAATGTCATCCCCAGAGCCACTTGTCCAAATATCTGAGTGTCCTGCATGAGGAACAGAGGTCAATTATGGGATGCAATCATTACAGAGACATTTAAACATTCTTTCTCCTCTTCCCTCCTCCTCCCCTTCCTGAAATCTGGAATTTCAACACCTTAAGTTACTTCCCTAAACCACTTTTTTAAAGCCTAGGAAATTTCTAATCATTTTAGGGGTATGGTTTTGAGGACCCTGTCTGAGACAGAAGGATTGGGTTGATTTTGTGGAGCATCTGAAGTAGTCACATGCTGAGCACTCACTGTGGCAGCCTGAGGCCACTCCTTTGGGGCAGTGAGCTCTCTATTTTTTCCAGTATCTACATAGGCAGGTGTTGCTCACGTAGCTGGGGCTGCTTGGCTCTGCCCCTGGGCTGGCTAGCTTCCCAGCTGCGAGCAAATAGAGTAAGGACAAAGGCTAGAAGTGGCTCCCATATTAAATAATGAAATGAAAATTCATTGCTGGGCTGCTAAATATCACATTGCTTCCTCCTTTAGACTCTCATTGGTATCTTTTGGTTTGGGGGTTTAAAATTTTTTTTTATTTGTTTTGTTTTTGCAATGTGCTCGTTCATTTCTTTAAAACATTGAATATGAAATATTTCAAATCTGGATGCAATAAATTCACCATTGAACCTAACACGTTGAAACTTAAATCATATCCCTTGCAGACAACCGCTGTCTGGAATTTATTGTTCTTCAGTGCTAAGAAATTCTTTACATGGAAGCATTACATGTTACCACATTAATAGGTACAATTTTATGTTTTTATATGTCAGTTAAAATAAATTTAATTTAAAAGCTAATTAAAACCATGGTGGTTTTATTACACAGCTCATTGTACATAATATTAGTATTATGTCAACAATAGGTAGTATTATATTGCCTGTTCATTTCTTAAGCTCCATTTGGGATATTTTTTCCAGTGTAATTTAGCTGAGCTATTCTCCACACTGATATGCAGCATTACTATGGAATAGTGTTTGGCCCTAAAATACAACCAGAAATGGATTGGGTTGACAATTTTTATGTGTCACATTAATATTTAATTGTAACATAATGTGTAACTGTTAAACACGTTTGTTTTATTTCAGGTTTAATATAACGTATCCTCTCATGCTTTTTCCCTGCCCCTTCTTCCCGCATCAACAACAGTAGAAAAAGAAGAAGAAGAAAACATGTCAGGACACAAATGGTAAGTAGTGTGTTGTCTTAACTAAATTGGGATAGGCTAATAAGGTAGAAATCACATAGTTCTTGCTCAGCAAATGTCTATTGAATGGGACAATTGAGACACATTAGCAGTAAATAACCTTTCCAGGTTGATGCATTTTTATTACTTTCTTATTTATACCTTCCACCTTTGGAAGGCATAAGGAATGTTATATAGGGTATCTATGAAATAAAGTTTGGTTCTGCTGTCATACACTATTCAGACTTACTAACTGCAACCTTCATGAACATTCGGAAGCCAGTCGTGGTTGAAGTGTATGATGCTGAATAGAACAGATGTGGTAACCAAGCTAGCTCTCCCATTTATGTAGAAATAACACATTATATGGAAATAGCATATTAAACCCCTGGGAAGTTCTAGAGCCCTTTATGCAGTGCTTCTAAACCTTTTGAACTTGTGACTCAACAAGCAAGCAGATTTTTGTCAAGTTGTACCTTCTTTAATTTGATTCATGAGAATGAATTCCATTTTATTTTTCAAATATACAATTAATTAAAACAAGAAATACACTTTTTAATCCCTCCTTTCGCATTAGAGAAGAAATTAGGCCCAAGTCCTTGGTAAGAACTTTTGCATATCCTAAAATGTAATTATTTTTTAAAAGTAATTAAGAATCCCCATTTGACAGTCATCTAAGAATTGTCAGACTTCTTATTCTCTGTCTTACCTTGCCTCCTGATCATGGGCTGGTTCCATCTTGTGACTCTCTTAGTGGCTGCCATATGCTGGCAGGAGTCTTGGGCAAATAGTTACTCACCTAAGGCAGATGGGAAAGCCCCAAGAAGTAGGCCCTCCCAATCTCTCCTGCTTACTATACTTTAGAGCTTGCTGCTAAAATACAAGGGCTAAGGAGTACATCTAAATGACTGAACTGTGGAAGAAAACATCTGGATTTTAATCCTGGGTGATTTTGAGCAAGATTCTTAAACTTTTGAAATCTGAGATTCTTCTTTTTTATGAGTGGTAGAGGCTGGTGGGTATTCATTAGATCTCTTTCCCCTCCTTTTTTGTTCCAAAATAAAATTTTTAAATTAATTCTTTATTTATATATGACAGCAGAATGCATCACTAATTCTTATTATACATATAGAGCACAATTTTTCATATCTCTGGTTGTACACAAAGTATATTCATGCCAATTCATATCTTTATACATGCTGAAATAAAATTTTTGTGTTGTTGTTGTTAATATGATGGCTGGAGAGAGAAAAAGAGAGAGAGAGAGAATGAAATTAAATCCATTTTATGCCCTATTCTTGAGACTCCCATTCCCCTGGAATAACCTTAGTCTTTGGGGTCAATCCTTCCAATATTTTAATGTGCATGTTATATAGACAGATTGTCTTTTACCTAAATGTTATGCATATTTTTATCTTATTTTCTCCTTTGTGAACTCATAATAAAATGTTTAAATACTACAGAAGGGTATAAGACCCACCATGAAAGTCTGCCATAAACCTACTTCTCTTACCAGCAATCACTGTTGTTAAGGAAATCATCTGAAATGCTGACTTCTTAAGACATGTGAATTAAAAGTTATAGATTTGATGAAAATGTCAAGGAAGGAGAGTATAAATCACTGTGTTTTGAGATTCTGGTATTTTGATCTAATTCTATGAAGCAGCTCACAGGACATAAGCTGGCATATCTAGAGCTGGGGTCGAAGAAGTTACATATCAGCAGAGGGCAGTTGTCAAGGGCCCTGTGTGGCAGTTAGGAACAGGAACTTTAGACATAGGAGGAACACAGAGCAGGGGGAAGGACGGAGCACCAACAGGAAACTTTGCGCCAGCATTTGGTGTACTCATTGCTTTCATTGAAGGAATCCCATTTCATTCTAAGTTTTGTTTCTAGTTTTTTTCTTTACATTCTTTTTGATTTGCTTTATGACCTTCCTGAACAATGGCTTTCTATCTGTGTTATTTGAAAAATTTATAGTTTATGACATCAGAAATCAGTAACAAATTTTAAATTTTTATTTATTTTATTTTATTTTTTGGTACTGGGGATCCAACCCAGGGCCACATTCATGAAAGGCAGGCACTCTACCCCTGAGCCATATGCCCAGCCCCATTAGTTTACTTTACTGCGGTAAGAACAACTAACATAAGACCTACTTCTTAGAAAAGTTCAAAGTGTACAATACAGTATTGTTAATTATAGGCACAGTATCATACAGCAGATCTGTTGAACTTATTCATCTTTCATAAATGAAAGTTTTATGCATGTTGATTAGCAGTTTATCATTTTTTTTTCCTCAGCCTCAACTACCTTTCTACTTCCTAGTTCTGAGTTTGATTATTTTAGATTCTTTTTTAACAGATGTTAAGGGTGTTATTTTTCAGCCTCTTTCTACTTTGCCATCACTTCATTCCATACAGGGGGATGGAGAAAGTGTGTGATGGTGTCTTCCTTCATCCCTGATTCCCCATGGTCCCTGGAGCCAGTCACCTGGCCTTCTTGGCCTTACTTTCTCCACCTCTAAAAGGAGTGTGTCCACTTATTGATATCTAAATTCTCCTGAAGATGGAGTTTTCTTGATTTCCTACAAATGATTCTAAATTTCCTCACTCTAACTTATGCAATTTTAGAGCAGGTTAGAAATAATTGATTTAATGTTCTTGGTGTAATATCTACATAAGAAAGTATTTACATGTTTATGAATGTTGTAAATGTCAGTGTATATTAGAACACCATATCTAGATAAATTTTTCATGCTATAATATCTTAAATCTTTATGAAAGTATCGAATAAAATAGCTCTTTATATGTTTTCAGCAGTTATTCCTGGGACTTACAGGATCGATATACTCAAGATAAGTCAGTTGTCAATAAGATGCAACAGAAGTACTGGGAAACGAAGCAGGCCTTCATTAAAGCCACGGGGAAGAAGGAAGATGAACATGTTGTCGCCTCTGATGCAGACCTGGATGCCAAGCTAGAGGTGAGCTCTTTACAGCTCACAGCCCCAGCAAAGTGTCTTGAGAGCATCACTTCACCCGGGCAGGCCTAGGTGTGCTTTATATTTGAAAATCTGGAAGATCTAGAATCAAATAATTATACCCAGTACATTTTGTTAAAATCAACACATTCTCCTGTAGCCACCAGCATGCCTTAATTTGTTTTTCAAGCTCTTAGTTGGAATGCATGGCATGTGGTAAATTCCCAATAAATGTTTACTGTCAAAATTATTACAAAGAGTTGCTGCTATTGATAGCTGAGGAGTCAGAATTGGGGAGGGTTCAGAAAACTAAGGTTCCTGTAGATGTTTACATTTAAAAATAATAATAAAATTAAGAGGACATGGGTAAAATAATCTGGAAAGTAGAGCCTAATAAGATGGTATTAAACCCTGGAAAATTCTAGAATGAATTAACTAAGCAGATACTTTGACTATTTAGTAATATAGCAAACTGAATTCCTACCTGGTTGATCAAGAGTATTAATGTAACTAGTAGAAGGCCCACTAACTGTCTTGCTGGACATTTATGCCAATGGTTTAGATTACAACTTTGAAACCATAACATTTCTGTGGGTGACAGGGCATCAAAAGGAGTAATACAATACATGGTCTGATAAGGATTCAACAGATTCTCTATATTTAATGTGCAAAATAAAGTTAATGAATCTAACATTATTTAATGGAACTAAAAAAAAAAAAAAAAAAGAGCTCCAAATTTCCCAGAAGGGTGGCTGGGGTGGTAGAAACCATGGTTATTCCAAAACAGAGAGGGTTAAAGGGAGACTTAGTTGTCAATTACATAGGAAAGTCTGTTATGTGGAAGAGGGTTTCCATTCATCTGAGGATAGACCTAGACTCAGGCAGAGCTTTCTCAAGTATAGGCTGCCCAGTGAGAGATGGGCTGACTTTGAGCCTGTGAATTCCCTGTCCAATCAATATGGCTACAGTTGCACCTGCCAGCTTTTGTGACCTGGGGAGAACGACCTAAAAAAAAATAATAAATTTCTCTTATCCTTGTTTTTTTAGTGCTTGAAATGGAAGCAAGAATAATTATTTACTTACAGTTATTATGAGAATTAAATTAGGTAATAAGTAGAGTGATAGCTTATGTTTACTTAGTTCTTATTATGTCCCAGGGACTATTCAGAATGCCTTCTGTAAATTATCTCTGGAACCTAACAAAGCTCCTGACACACCTGGCTCTGCCTCCCTGTCCTAAGAATTCTCTCCCATAACACTTACACTGCCCACACCACCCTCCGGGCATAAAGGCCTTTTCCTAGTTCTCAGGCCACAATCAAGCAAGTTCAAGCTTATCAAAATATTTCCTGTGGTCCTCCTGGATACTCTTTTCCCAAACCTTCCCTTGAATGGCTCCTCCTCATAGTTCCAGTCTGGCCTAAAGGTCACCTGAACTTGAATATGCTGTTTAAAGTCACTGAGATCCACCCCTGTTCCTCATGCACTCCACCCACTCTTCTCACACATGGCCTTGTTTTATTTGCTCAGGGTCTCATCTCATGGAATTATCTCAGGTGTTGGTTTGTTTGCCTCCCTTATCCCCAGTAAAAGGCTAAAGTCCGTGCTAGCATACCACTTTATCCCCACCAGTCTCACAGTACACATTCAACAGGTACTAAATGAATACCTGTACATGTTGGTGCAATTAATATCAGCCCTGTCTCTCCTTCTGTAAGTGGAAATTCTGCGAAGAAGCTGGGTTGACAAGGATTTTCTAAAGGATATTCCTACATTGGGGAAAAAAAAAAGTAGAATCAGGAAACATGTTCTGATTTTTATATTATAAATGCAGGGTAAATTGTTATAAGTTATAAATGCTTTTCATAGTTCATAGCTTTTTCCTTTTTAACAACCTAGTAAATACAAGTCAATCATTCAAAAAGAAAGATGCTAATTACTACTATATTAAATATTATATTTATATGTTGACTTTTTCCACAACACTTTTAACAAACCACTGTACTTTATTCCAAATAACTGCTGTCCTAACATGTGACTTTCAAAGTAGTTAGCAGTGAATAGTAATTTTACCCATGACAGAGGATTCTGCAGAAATGTTCATACTGATGTTGATGGTTATTGAGAAAATTGATACCATCAATAAAATATAAAAATGATATGCAAATCATTATGACATGTTTTTATACTGAGTTATCCATAGAAGCCTTGCTTATGAACCAAGACCTTGCTGGCTCAGAAAACTTGTGGGCCAAATTTTAATACAGGTCAGATACTATTGCAATTCATTGAGAAGTTAATATAGAAATGTTGTGCTAAGTTTAACATTTATCCACATTGCTTGATATTAAAATGATTTTCTCAAAAGCCAGTCCTTAGTACAAGGTCATAAAAAAAGAATCTATGGTGATAGAAGTTTTTAGTGGCTGCCAGAGTACAGTGGACAGTATGGATGGGGAAATGTTTCTTATCTTGCTTTGGACATGATTACACAAATGTTTATAATAATAAAAATTCATAAAACTGAACATTAAAGAACTGTGCATTTTATTGCATTCAACTTCTATCTTAATTTTTAAATAATGAACAGTCAGAACAGAACATCTCTTAGCTGTTATATTCAAGAATGAGAAAAAGAACCAACTTGGTCCTTTTCCGGTGGTCTGTGGCCCAGACTACTGACATCAAGCATTTGCTAAGGGACGGATTCAGACTGCCAGTTTTCTGTTTTGTTTTATGGTATAGGATTTTTTTTTCATATCTATAAACAGGTTGAGGATGCAATTTAGTAAACTCATATATTTATATTCTTCATGACCATGTTTTATTATATTAAGTATTCCTAGGAATGGTTTTAATCTTTCATGTACATGTGCATGCATCCATTTTTATTAGATAATTTGGTCAAATTTATAATGAAGCAGATCATCTGTTTTCACTCAAATATTGAAGTGCTTTGTAACATAATTTCTACAATGTGGCCAGTTAAGTAGGGAGAGAGGAAGAAAGAAAACCTTGCCTGGCCTCACTGAGTGACTCCGCAAGGCAATATGTTTGTCTGCCAGGTTTTCTAATTGTTCCCAGCCCAGGTCTCTTGAGTCTGTGGTCAGAGGTAAAGAAAGTGTGAAGTATGTTATGTTATGTTTGCTTTCTGTCACTGTAACAAATACGTGAGATAAATCAAGTTAAAAACAGGAAAATTTTTATTTTGCTTCAGTGATAGAGGGTTCATTCCATGGTCACTTGGCCCCATTACTTTGGAGGCTGTGGTATAATTGGAGGAAACGTGTTCCTTAGGACAGCCAGGAGGCAAAGACAGTGGGGAAGAGGCTGCAGTTCCTTATCTCTCTCAAGGGAACATGCCCCCCCCCCACCAATACCTTCTGCTTGGTCCCACCAGCTCCCAATAGCACCACAGGTTGGAGACCAAGCTGTTAGCAGATGGGCCTCTGGGGGAACATTTAAGATTCAAACCCTACTATCTCTTCTGTCTTTCCTTGAGCTATCTTGGTTTCTGAAGCAAAAACTGAGACACCCCCCCCCCTAGTTAAAATCCAGTTAGATTCTTCACAATTCAATCCTGCTTACCTTTCCCCCAGTTTTCTCCAATATGACCATAGCAATGGCATTAGGTTGTCTCACTGTGTATATTTTATGAAATCATTAGGAAAATAAGTAGTGATGTTTGCTCCTAACTAAACATCATTTTTACCAGATGCCTTTCAAACAGACAGGACACTCAGATGATTGATTTTTGTTTGCTTTATCCAGTTTTTTAAGCTTGCCATAAAATACATTAAAATCATAAAACAAGTTGACGTCATCTTTTAAATATAATGTTTACTTGACAAACCTTCCATTAAAAAAAAGACAGCAAATGGTGAAGGGAATAAATTAGGTTATGAATGAATATTGGGTCTCTGGTTTACCAACTCCTCTAATTGGGCCCTTCACTTAGTTTTCTGTTTTCAGCTATTATTTCAATAGTCTGGCGGAAATAATTGTTGCTGTAGATCTTAATTTAGATCACAGAGATGATGAATTCCAATAAGTAAAGGAAAATAAGAACATATTTAATGGTGCTGGTCACAGTCTCTATATGATACTCTACATAACACCAAACACACTTAGACAGACATGTTATCTTGTTTTAGGTGGATAATTTATACACTATGGTTTTGTTTAGTGTAATTATTTTTTATTTCACTGCTATCTGTTTTATTCTGTTCTCTTTTTTTTTATTACAGTTGTTTCACTCAATTCAGAGAACCTGTTTGGATTTATCTAAAGCAATTGTACTCTATCAAAAGAGGATATGTTGTAAGTATATCATAAGTGTGACAGATAGACCCTAAGAAAAAGCAGTATGTTTCACCTTCATATATCATTTAACATGTTTAAGGAACTCTTTATGGGTATTTATTTGTTTAAGCCACGAAGAGAAAGGTCTCTAATAATTTTACCTAATTTACATAGGTTGTTTATCTTTCAAAGTAAGAATCATACTAGGAGAATATTGTATTGGATGTCCCATGGATTTAGACATACCATTTATTTTCCCAAGTATAAAAAAGTTTTCTCAGTTTTATGCCTTGGGCTTTTAAATTGGGGTTATTTTTATTTGATTGCCCTGGCTCTCTTATATCCAGCGTTGTCCCTTTTAAAGAAGTCAGGTGGAGAGAGAAGGCATATACAGTTAATTCACTGGTGATATTTTGTTGACAGTATGTCCCCAAGAACATTTCTCATGTCAGACATAAGGTATTGGGCTGGAATGAGAGTTTCACACAGTCATCCTGTCTTAAAAGCATTCGCAACAAAGTTATCCCTGAAATACTAAATATCAAGTTGTATGTTGATATGTTTTTAAACTTCATTTTAAATCATAATAAATATAATAGTATAATTTCTATATTTCTAAGACTAGAATACAGTGTGTCATTTTATTTCTGATGCTCTGCCAAAGCCCTTTTCTATAATCACAAGTTAGGGATCAGTTGTTTTTCTACATTAGTAATGTTTCATTGAGGAACTGTTTGAGGAAAGCCCAAAATTCATAGGACTTAGAGGAAGAATTATATAAATTATCTTTGTTAATATTTACTAAATGTTTAGGCTAAGACTTCTCCAGGGCTCTAACTCCAGGATCTTGAGCTATGAGGAAATTGAGGCACATGCGGACGGCCCTCACATCTCCCTGTCTCACATTTAGTCATTCTCAGTGCTGGCCTGATTTGTCTCTTAAATAGCTTTCAGCTTTGCCCTCCTCTTCTGTATTCTCTGCCACTACCCTAGTTAGGCCCCACCATCACTCCCCTACTTGGTTTACTAAATCAGCTTACTATCTGATCCCCTTGTCTACACTTCTGCCTCCACTAGCCTGTTGTCTACACTGCAATCAGAGTACACTTTTAAACCAGACCAGATCATTCCTTTGTTTAAACCCCAAGTTCGAAGAATTATTGGTCAAAATTGCTTTTACTCTACCTACCATGCTCTTCATACTTAGCATGAAATGGATCATTTTCTCCTCAGCAGAAAACAAAAGATATTTATAAAATTATGATTGTTTTATATTAAGTGAGTCACATGAAGTCAGTTGCCATATATATATATATACATATGTATGTGTATATATATATATATATATATATATATATATATATAAGGGAAGAAAAGATGGGTGCTTGCAGATTCTATGTAAACAGTGATTCTCCGAATAGAAATTATAGAAATTATGCTTACCATCTATTTGAATGTTCCTAGTAGAACACTTGGAAAGATCTTTCCCCTCAACTATCTCAGATTAGTTAATAGAATTAGGATTGAACACTGTAAAATCTCATGATCATCTTGTAAGGGCCTGCAACAGTGAGCCCACCCTTGAAGGAGTCATCTGGTTGTGCCAGCAGAGCTTGGCTGTGGGTTGTGGATGAGCCCTTTGTGTCTGCCCACTAAGCTCCTGTGAGCCATGCTATCACAGTAGGGATGAGAAGGAGGAGTTCTGCACTGCTGGGATGGAAAGGAATCCCGACTTGGATGGAGGGCTAAAAATAGGGTAGCTAATGTGAGGGTGTTGCTATGCAGCTGTCAAAGAAAAGAAATGAGGAAAATCTCTATGAACTGATGATATGAAGTAATTTTAAGGGTATAATTTTAAATGAAAGGAGCCAAGCACAAATGCATATGGATAGTATGCTACCCTTCAGCAAGAAATAAGGGGGGTATAATAAAATAGAAATGTAAAGAATGAAAAGTACACACACAAACACACACTCATACACACACACACACACACGTGCACACACAGTCTTCTTATCATGCTAAAGAATTTCAGGAAAGATAAACCAGAAATTAAAGAGACTGGGGGTGGGTAGGGAAGTGTTGGAAAGAAGTAGGGATGAGAAAGGGGCGGAAGGGTGAGGAGGGAGCTGTATCTAGCAAGCTTAGTGGTGTTTCACATACTCAAAACATGCTTAAGACCAGCCAGGACCTGGGAGGCTCCAAAATGGAATGCAAGCAGTAACAAACAAATTGAATTGCATTACAAATGAATAGCATCACCACACTGACTAGAGTGGAGAAGAAAAGAACTAACCTTAGTAATTTGGAGCAACAGTATTTTTTTACAGGATTCTAAACCTAAACACAAAGTGTACATGGAAACTGCTTTTGTTAATATATTTATTTCTTATAGGGATAACGGTTAGCAATTCTGAAACTGTGTGTGTATATTGAGGTAAATACATTATAGATAATGACAGCCTGGGTTCTTACTGCCTATAGTAGAAAGAAGTTGTGAATAAAGGGAGAAGGCTAGAATAAACATGAGGTATTGGGCTGGAATCAGAGGTGTCAATGAAGTCTTTGTTATTAACATAGATACAGATGGAGAGATTCAGAAATGAATACAGATGAGTGAGTATACATGGGTTCCTGTGCATTCATATATTTCCTGCCTTTGCTGACAATACCTCAAAGTACTAATGCCCTGTAGTACTAATGCCATGTAGTAGTGAGCACACCAACACACAGTTCTTGGTTTCTAAACACCCTTATTCATATAAGCAGTGCTTCTTGAAGAAATGACTGATTTCAGGGCTGAGGAAGGGAAAGTTCAAAATGAGTCTGGAATATTTTATAATGGCCAACATATAAGAAAGTTTTTGAAAAAGGGTGCAAGTTGAAAGGGCATAGCAGCAAGCCTATGGTCCAAGCTGGTACAATTTAAGTATCAAGATAAACAATGATATTGTTGAAATATAACACATGGAAAAAAAAATGATTACCCATTATGTCTATCTGGATGTAGATGGATGGAAAGGCAGGTAAGAAAAGGCCTTATAAAATACTTCCAGTTAATATATATATATATAGAAAAAATACCACAAAATCACCATTAAGTAAACACCACAGTGAGAATCATGGCAGGTCAGAGTCACTGAAGAGTGTCACAATTAGTGAAAGTTTGTGGAAAGAAAGTTTTGTGTACTCTTTCCTCAAAGTTACAAAAAAATTACAAAATAATAATTGCAAAAGGAAAAAAAAAATGTAACTTTACAGTGAAGAAACCCAACAGATACTACTTTAACCAAGTAACAGAAGTCAACATCCCCAGTGATAATACATGTTGTTATGTAAACCTGATACCATCCACTAAGAGTGGCTCTTCACCTCTGTATACTTCCCTCAAGTCCATAACCCCAGTCTTATCATGAGAAATCAGACCAAGCAAAATTGAACGACATTAAAAAAAAAAATATTTCAGGAAAGTTGGGGCTGGGATTGTGGCTCAGCAGTATAGTGCTCACCTAACATGAGTGGGACCCGGGTTCAATCCTCGGAATCACATAAAAATAAAGGCATTGTCTTATATCCATCTTCACCTAAAAATAAATAAATAAATAAATAAATAAATATTTAAAAATATTTCAGGAAAGCTGAAATGGGAAAAAGCATCAAAGTCTTGAAAGACAAGAAAGATAAAGGAACTATCAGATTGAAGTATCTCCATGCTGGAACAGAAAAAGGGCATTCCTGGGAAAACTGGTTAAAAAGAAATTAAGAAAGCCTGTGGTTTCATTGGTAGTATTATTCCAATGTTAACTTCCTAGTTTGATCTTTGTGTCACGGTCATATAAGATATAATATTAGGGGAAGTTGGGGAAGGGCATATAGGAATTCTGTATACTATACATAATTTTTCTATAAGTCTAACATTATTTCAACATAAGAGGTTTCATAAAGGTCTAAACGTAACATAAATTGGATTCTATTGCTCCCTACCTTTTAAAAGCATCCAGTAGTACTTAAAGTAGAATCCAAACTCCCCTACCATGGCTGATAAACAGCACACACCTCTCCAGCCACATTTCCCCACCTGACATCTGAAGCCTTGAACTTGTTGTTCCCCTTCTTGGCATGGCTCTGCCTTAATGGTATCTAGAGCAGCCCCTTCATGTCATTCATAACTGAGCTTAATGTCCTATTCCAAGATGCCTCTCCTAATCACCCAGTGAAAGACAGCTTCCAGTCCCTCTTATTCCCCATCTCTCTTTTTGTATTTTTCTTTTTGTTTTGTATTTGTGATTATGTATGTTTTGTTTTTCTGTCACATGCTGCTTGAATATTAGATCTGTAAGAGCAGGGACCTCATGTGTCTTGCTCATCACTGTATCCCCAGGGGCAGAAAAGTGTCTGGTACGTATGGAATCATCCATAAATCTGGGCTAAGTGAGTTAATGCTGTCAAGCTAATTGGTTTCATAGTTCTTTAGTTGCATTTTGAGAGAATATATCTGAAAATCTAATTAGCAATTAAATGTGGATAGGTTTTTATTTGAATTTTTAAGCCCCAGTTAATTGAAAACTTTGTACAAGTAGAAATTTTTGAGTTATCTGATACATAAGTTGCACCTGAATTTAAACTTCTACCAATTAATTTTAGTATTTGAATTGTTTAAATTAAACAATGGCCATCACTAATTGGAAAATTCCAACCTTGAGCCCCATGGAGCTCAAACCTCCTTTCACCTCTCTCAGAAGCACTGCCAATTAATCAGAGTCAGCACTTAAATGAAACTTGTTTGCCACCAGGTTTAATCCTCCCATGTATAAAATGACCAGAAAATTATTTTTAAAAGCTTCAATCTACCTAGATTTTTTTTTTTTTTAGGAAATAGTACATTTCATCAGCCGTGTAATCATCAAGGTACCATGAACTGGTTTCTTCCTGACCTTAAACTAAATGTGTTCATTCATACATGAGTTGAGGCTTCAAAATTAAAAAAAAAAAAAAGAAAAGTGACAGTAGCCTTATGATCTTAGGAGCAAAAATGGGAAATTGCTCTTCATAGAGAAAGATTCATTGTGGAATTGATTGATTGATATAATAAACAGTGGAGAAGAAAAATGGAAGGTACTAAAAAACAACAATAATAACACTTTTTATAGTTACAGGAATTTTTAAGGTACTTAGGATCGTGGCATGAATATGAAATAAGCTTTTAACTTAAAATAAAATGTACAGGGATAACAAAGCAAAAATTATCGTTAGTTCAACCTCACAAACATTTAATTACTTCCATAACTATAACGCTTCATATTTAGACTGGGAAATATAAAGCTTAGATGAGGTCCCTGTACTGGAAAGCCGAGTCTCATAGGAAGGTCACATGCTCACCCATGCACACTCTGACATGGGTCCTACCACAGTAAATGCTAACACACGTGCCCAGGAGGCATTGCTGTCCTGAGAAATAGGAATCCACTGCTTGACAGAGGAAGTAGCCTTCCTGCTTTGATCTGTGAGCATGATTTTTGAGAGACAAAAGTAGGAAGGAGGAACATCTTTTACCTCTCAGGAAAAATGGATTCTGAAGCCTCGTTTCCATGGGGCCCTCCCAGGGGACTGATAGAGTGAACTATAGTCACAGATTAAGAAGGAAGCTGTAGTGAGTTTAGCTGTTATCTTTGTATTCATGGGTCCTGGCCAAACCTCTACATTATGGTTGGAGAGATTTTTAGGAATGGGGTGCATTCTCAAAGAAATCTGTATGGCTCATGGAAATAGACAAGAATCCTAGCAGCATTTAGAAAGCAGTTTGAGATACACATGGTGTGGAAATGTATCAGTACAGAAATGAGGACAAGAGTGTTATTCAAAGTATGTTGATAGTAAATGTTGTGTTTAGAAAAAGAGAAAAAGACAAACAAAAAAAATCCTGGGAAGCTTGGTGGCATTTGGGTCTCCTTTACTCTATTATGTGGATGCTCTGTATTTTATCAAATTAGTCCCTAGAATAGGAAGCAAGAGTTTTTTCACCATAATAAATAATCATGCTGATTATTTTTGTGCTCACTGGACTACCTCCTTAGGATGTTCTAACACCCTAACAGTAGAAGCGCAGTGTCAAAAATGTTGCAATTCTATGACTATATCTACAGCCAAATCAATCTGTAGAAAGCTTGTAACAGATCACTTACCAGTAGTCACATCTGCAGTTGTATTTAAAAAGGAGACCAAGATCAGGCAGAACCAATTCAGAGCCGGTTCCAGCATGTGTATTTTAAAATCCACCAAATGATCAACCTGATGGCCTACCCAGCCTCCATTCCCACCCCCACCTCCTACCCAAAACCTGTGTCATGAGTGAGATATTTGAGTTTCTTAACCATGAGTAGAATGTAACTCAGGAAGCACAGATCAAAAAACCAGACAGATAGAATAATAGGAGGCCACTAGCACAGAATTCTAGGAGCCACAAAAGATTCCCACCGTCAAACCCAACTCCTTCATTTCAGCTGGAAGCAGCACATTATGGGCTGGCTTTTCAGTACAGAGGTCATTTTCTGGTTCTGATTACAGGCACCAAACTCACTGACAGATGTATTCAAGTGAATTTGATCTCTGGTATTGTACGTGGAAGAACAGCATGAACATTAAATGGCAGGGTGCGGGGAGGTGGGGAGAACTCACCTTGAAGCCTGCCACTTGGATTTAATTTCATCTCATCTTTGCCTCTGGGAGAGAGGGGACCTTGTGATTCGTCTCTCTCATTTTCTTTGTAATAAAAATGCTCATTGTTCATGGCTCCTTTCTGTCTTTTCTTCATCAGTCTTGTCTCAAGAAGAAAATGAACTGGGAAAATTTCTCCGATCTCAAGGCTTCCAAGATAAAACCAGAGCAGGAAAAATGATGCAAGCCACAGGAAAGGCCCTCTGTTTTTCTTCCCAGCAAAGGTGTGTGACCTTTATTGGGGCTCTGTTTTGGGGGATCTGAAGAGAACCTGGGAATCACCTACTCATGCAGGGGAATTTCGCTGTCTTTAGAAAGCTTTTGCCTGCAGTTGAGGAGCTACTCCGTTTACTTGATTTCTTCTGAACTCTTATGAATAAAATCACATGTAGGATTCCTTTTTTCCCTTCTTGTTCATTTTTAAATATTTTTTTCTTATTTCTCCGGGCCTATAGGGGGCATTCTAGGTGCCAATCACTGTGAGTGCTGTCCTAGGCTTATATTTGACCTTCAACATTGCTCATAACGATCAGTCTGCTTCCAGCAGCTGATTAAAGCAGGAGCCTAATGAGACCAGCTTGAAGGGTTTCCTCCCTGCTCTCTGTGGGCCAATTAACTGCAGAGGGGTGTTATTCAGGATGCCCTGGACCACACTGCCCAGACCCTGGGCCAGCAGCAGCAGCAGCAACACCTGGGAGCTTATTAGAAATGCAGAAACAGGACCCCACCCCCCAGATCTGCTGACTCTGAAATTTGCATTTTAACAAGATTCCCTGTTGATTTTGATGTACATTCAAGTTTGAGAAGCTCCAGTACAGAGAAAACTGTGAGTGATCACTGGCATTTTTTTTTTTTTTTTAAATACAACCAGGATTCATTTTTATGGTCAGTATTAAATAAGCAGGAGCCCCAGCACACAGTTGCTCCTTGTGCCTGAGAAAAGGACACTGTTTCTCTCAAACTCCTCCAGTAACTAACAAGCCCCCAAACTGTCATCCACTAATATTTGGCAGATTCACATCTAAGTAAAGCTTGTAGGTAATTTCCAAAATATTTAGGCTGTAGAAATCTTACTTACACAAATTGTCCAATATTTTCTTCTCCTATTAATTTTTCCTTCTCATTCTCCTTCCCATGGACATATTGCATGGGTGTTCCTATGAAAATCCAAGATGGAGTAGAAAAGAAACCAGCTGTGTCAAGTTTTTAGTGATCCCATTCCTAGAGATTTGGGTTCTTCCTCATGACATTTGGACCCTGACTGTGTGGACCATGCCAACTCTCATAGTTGAAGGAAACCATTTCCAACAGTTCTCTACCCTAGGTTTCCAAGAAAGATACTTATTTTTAACCTTGAAATGCACCTATTATACTTATTTATAGTAATTATTGTCCTTGTAAAAACCGTACATACTCATTTTAGAAAAATTTAAAAACAGACAAAATAAAAGGAGAAAATTAAAATCAATTTTACTAATGGGGATAATCTCCTTTGAACCCCTTGATAGATGCTTTATGTATACATATGAGCTTCTCCAACCTTAGGAGGATAAATAATTCCTAAAGTATCTTTCATAGAGTAAATTCTCATATGTTGAACATGTACTATCACTAATTAGAAGAAATTCTTATGTATACCTACATACAAAAATTAGCATCTATTTTATGGAAAACAAAGCCAAATCCCAGAACACAATGCAAGGGTTATTATTACTGATAACATTGTTAATTATTCTCTTATATGACTATCCAGTATATACCCTTTCATAATTATGTACCAGATGATCTCACAGAGCACAAATATTGTTTATGTAACCTAAGCTTCAGATACAAACACAAACAGTAAAAGAAACCAACAAAAACAATGCGAATGGTATTGAAAGTATAAGCGCTGTGTGTTAGCAAACTGTGCTGTGTCCATAACTTAATGAGGTATGACAAGCTTTACCATTTGGAAGGTGGCCTGCACACTGGGGTCTGGTTTCCTGACACTCAACTGTTGCCAGGCACATGAAATCCCAACTAGTTCTCCTAAACATGAAGGAAACAGGAGGATTAAATGCAACTCTCCTGAGGATTAAATGCAACTCTCCTGACTTTGAATTCTCAGTCCTAAACGTGATTTAGGGTATGCAGGAATATATTCCAACACAGATAGCTGATATCATAATTTCTAGTGTTTGCATCTTATTGTATATAGATTATTTAGCAAATTGATTTTTTTAACGTCAAATATGCTATCATTTTAAATTTCAGTGTATACATTTTAAACAGCCACACCTTAGCATTCCACTGAGTACGTGTGAATAAACATATGCCAGGTATACATTTAACCTGGGCCCTGCTGTGCATTTCTTTGGTCATTTCCACCTTTTCCTGCTAAAGGATAACTGTCCTTGGAGTAGACCTTTAGGTGCTTTATTATTACACTTGGATGGATTCTCCTGAATGAAAATGTGGACCAATCTATCACTGAATCCGGATATTTTTTATTTATTTTGAGTCATGATCTAGTCTCTCATATCACAGTGATTGGGTTTTCACCTTTCTGATTTTATATGGAGTAAGTTACAAGAAAAAAATGGGGTGAGTCTATATGCCTTCTTTTCCCCCAACACTGGAGATTAAACCCAGGGACTCTCAACCACTGAGCTACACCCTTGAACTTTTTATTTTTTATTTTGAAACAGGGTCTCACTAAGTTTCTGAGACTGGCCTCACACTTGAGTTTCTCCTGCCTCAGCTTCCTGATCAACTAGGATTAGAGGCATGTGGCACTGAGCCTAGCATGCCTTTTTCTTTTTTATTACCAAGCTTTACAACTTTAAATGTATCTGTCCAATTTTACAATAGTGCAAAAAAACAAGAATAGTTCATTCACAAGACCTTTTTACAGCCAGTTTAGGAAAATAGTTGAAATCCAAGGGAAGAGAAAAAGGAGTCCAGAAATGAATACCATACTCAGGGAGACATCTGAGGACTGTTTGCAACTTTTCATAGAAGCCTTCAATTATACAAACCTTCACACCAGTGTTTGTTTAACTGACTTATTTGCTAGTCATTGCAACAATGGCTCATTCTGTTTGATGAAAGGTGAGTATTAAATTTAAACCAATAGGATAAAGCACAAGTTTCCTCGATGGGGTAACAATATGTATTTGAAAAAATTTCCAATGTCTAGGTAGGACAATGTGGGCAAGTTATTTTTCTAGAAGTTCTCAATATTTAAAACATTACAGACAAGAGGAAAAAGCAAAGGGGATTTTTTTTTTCTTATTGAACCATTTATACTCTTTCAGGTCTGCACACATAAGGTGGCATTGCAGACACTGATGGAGCCTCCAGGAGTCGCCCTCAGCTCCCTGGCACCATTGTTCCCTGAGATTGCATTTAAATTGAAATTGAAATATTCATCTCATTTTTTATATTTTGCACCTGTGCCCTGAATCTTTCTGGAAAAGAATGTATTTTAAAAGTGTAATTCATCTGACACTGCTCATTTTGGGTAGGAATATGAAAGAAGCAATATTTTCTACCCAAAGTAAATATTGTACTTAGAGTTTGATATATCGAAAATTTTTTTTTCTGAATAAATGACAGTGTGCTTGGCTCATATTATAATAATTTTACATTCATATAATATACATTTCTGATGTATATCTTTTAAGTTTGGAGAGGTTTTTCTTTTTTACAAGAATTAAATTATATACCCTATCTCCGAGGTAGAGCCTCAATAAATGTGCTTATCTCTCCTAACCACCTGAAAATGCTTCAGTTCATGCTTCATTTCTCCTGGAGCAAGCAGCACATGCCCCAACTCCTGAAAAGTAATCAAAATGGCCCTGGTCACATACAGTCTCTTCAAGGAGCCCACCTTTAAGGGATCAGGAGACAGGAAGTGGCCAAGATTGGAATGGAAATGGCATGCCTTGACTGTCCATCATTGATGCAGGATTGGTTCCAACTTCACTGCCCAAGCTTGAGGCCACCCCCAGCAACACTGAGAGAGGTGTTTCCCAATGGTCCACATTAGTCCCAGCAAACTGAAGTATGGAACACGGGTGGTCGTCCCTGACCAACTCATGGATTCACATACATTTTAATTATTATTCACCAAATCTGAATGGAGCATCTTCTCTTCCAGGCACTGTTCTAGGTTCATAAGTTTAAGACAAAGTGTCAAGGATTCAAACTGTGATTGCCTTGGTTTCAAGGTTGTCATTTTGTCTTTTTTTTTTTCCAGATTGGCCTTGAGAAATCCTTTGTGTCGATTTCACCAAGAAGTGGAGACTTTTCGGCATCGGGCCATCTCAGATACGTGGCTGACGGTGAACCGCATGGAACAGTGTCGGACAGAATACAGGGGGGCATTATTATGGATGAAGGACGTGTCTCAGGAGCTCGATCCAGACCTCTACAAGCAAATGGAGAAGTTCAGGAAGGTAGGAGGTTTTATGAGGTTTACCAAAAGGGGTACCTGCTAGAAGGTAATGAGGTGTGATTGAATCCCTCTGGTGAAGAAGGCTTAGCTCAAAAGCACCAAGGATGCAATTAATCATTGCTGACGTCTTTTTATGTGACAGAATACCAATTAATGTGATATATAATTCTCTAAGGATAAGATAGAAGAGACATCTGGAAATTGCTGGGATTCAGTAACTGGTTTTAATTGAACTCAGATTTTCATATAATGTGCACTTTTTGTACGGTTGTCACTTTTAAATGCCTTTTCACGCATAAGCATAACTAAAAATCAAGATCAGATAAAATGAATCTGGAAGGTGATAACACAATATTGGGGCAATCTTTTAAAATTGCTAATGTGTATTAAAATTAATAAGACAATAATACTCCTTTGTTTTGTGATGTGTTCAGAAGCAGTGGGGTTTAGTTGTAGGATTAGCTAATGTGGCATTGACTTTATCTGATATTGGCCTCTTCAGAAATTTCTTTGAGGAAAATAAGTACCCATAGAGATGAGTATGGTCTTAAATTGCCCTGAAATAACTGGTGAGTAGCAGAGCTAATTTCCAGTTAGTTTTTTAATTACCTTGTGTCAATGTAGGGTTTGGAGATTTTGACATACAAGGATGCATCCTACCACTGGGTGGCAGTGGTGCACTGAGTATTTATGAAAACATGGAGAGGGTTGTTTTTCTTGTTTTGTTTT